ACGTCTCATTTGAATTAAAAATTTCGTTTGAATGTGTACTTTTAATTGAAACTATTTTAATGTACAACTATTAAATATTAAAACACATTGTCACGTAGTTTTATGAAAATAATTTTGTTCGTTTTATTTAAATTATATTTTATGCAATGTGCACATACTCATATATTATGTTTTTTCCTTTTGAATACAGAAATTAATACTGTGTTTGTGAAGATTAAATTTGTTTTCACTTTTAAAAACAATGTACCTCTTAATTCATTTAATTAATTTATTGATTTCACTTTAGTCACATTATTCATCAAGTATTTTAGAAATTATTAACATTTTAAAGTAATGACTGAAGGTTAGGCTATGTGCTATTATTTTATCACTAGACATTTATCGGCATCACTCCTCCCTCCGCCTAAATAAAATAAGTTAATAATATCCAAAATATATTGTTATCGAACAGTCATTTTCTTATTAGATCATTATCTAATAAATAAGCTAGTTAATAAAGTATGTTCTCATAAGATAAATTTAAAGTTCTCATATATATATATATATATAAGATATAAGGGAGGAACATAAAAGATACTTCATAACTAATAACTTAATAAAAATATGTAAGTAAAAGAAACCAATAAAAAATTGTTAATATTACTTTAATTTTTCAATTATTTAAGTGATACGTGGATTTCTTTGTACATAGTTTAGTCGATTAAAAACAAAATAAATATATGAACCAAATATTTATGTATAAAAAAGATTATTTGAGTAAACAATAAGAACTAAAAACAGGAAATAACTAATTACTTATTCGAATGAAAATGCTCATAAATCAATATAGTCAACTAAAAGAATTTTAGTTATTTTTTACAGTTAATTGAATAGATAGAGAAAAGTGAAGTCTCACAAACGCCCAATAGACACGTATTGTTTAGAATTATGAATAAAAGATTTATGTCAGATTTTTTAAAATGAATGCTATTTGGTCGTTCAAAAATTCCCCGTCATTGATTAATGTGAACCGTTTCAAAAGCATAATACGATCAAGAAAAAGTTAATGTTCATTAAGCAAGTTATGATAAAAAAAATTTCACTGCTACATTTAGTAGTAATACTATTTTAACAGGTATTTAACTATTTTATGTAGCAATGCATTTTAACACAAATCCCCGACGTTGATATTATTATTGTTTACGTTGGTTCATTAATTTTAGTAAAAATGTAAAATGTAATAAAAAATAAAAAAAAATTAAATTAACAATAATAATATCATTGAAAAGCACAAAGTAATTTGAAATATTATTAATAAACAAAAAACATTGATTCACCTTTTTCAAACTGTTTAAGTACTACGGAATAACGCAAACACTATCAATAGTCATTAATGATTAAAACAAAAATGTACTTTTATTAAATTACTGTGAAGGAGTTATTCAATGAAATTACCCTTTACTTTTAATGAACTAGCGAGTTTTCTATACATGATAATACTTTTATAACCAACAAACAAAAGATTACTTATTAACATTTTGCATTTAAGTGCCTTAAGTAGTAAACTATTAAACGTATTCACTAAAAAATATACTAAACGGAATTGTTCAAGCGCATTATAAACATTCTCATACACTGAAGGAGTACTTCAACCATGAATACGGCCCCTTTAAATATTAAAAAAAATATTAATTTTACATACAGATAAGTTGTATATATAAAAGAAAAAAAATGTGGTTTAAAAAAAAAATTGACTAGTTTTTATTGATTTTAATCAATAAAAAGCTTAATTAGGATAATAAGTAAAATCATTGTAAGTTCCAGTAATTTTCTTATTTTTATATAAAAAATAAAAATTTGTTAGATATCTTTACATCAATCTAAAATTTTATCTGGATATTATTCAGCAAGTTAAGAATCGCAAATCACGAATTTTCTTCTAAACAATGTTAGAAAATATCAGTAAGGCTAAATGTAATTCACTTCTATTATATAAATTAGCTTTATATATTGGACATGCGTAGGTTTTACCAGTTTTTGTTTATCAAAGCTGACGAGTACTTACTTTAAAACTACTGCTTTAAAATTATAATTGTATTTAGCACAGACTTAAGGTTTGAATAAAAATATGTACTACTTTTATGTATGAAAAACTTGGTAAAAGTTAATCCATAAATGAATAAAATGACAGTATGTTTAATTACATACATTTTAAACATTCGAAATTTAATATTAAAAAAATATTATATTTCATTAGCTTTAATAAAATGTTGAGAAATATTTTTTGCTCATTTTTTGTTATAAAAATAAAATTTGATACTCGTTAATAATAATAAGTTAATAACAAAATACGAAATGACTTAAATAATATAAGATAATACATTATTAAAAAATGTATACACATGTTCATTAATTATTAAGTACGAAATAAACCAATGTAACGAGAAACAAAGAACAATTGTCTTAGGACTAGTTAAATTAAGATACACAGTAGGAACGTTATATCTTATTATATGTTTGAATACTTTAGTATTTTAACATGATGACAAAATAAGAATCGGAATAATACGGACTATTTATTATAAAATTCAATTTGTAAGACTAACGGAATAGCCTTAACGGCATTATCATAAGGTTAGAGATTCAACCAAGATAAATAAGTTAACTAATTTAATATTCATATCCTTTAGACTTTAGGAAAATAAAAAAATAATTTAACTAATAAAATAATAGTTTTTATATTTAATAATTTACTTATAAAAATGGACATTTTTTTTTTTGTCCAAAATAAGTATTTTTTCTTATATTATTACACTTTTTGAAGTTGATTTAAAAAATTACTATAACTAAATATTAAAAAAAATAATATGAGAATATTTTTTCGTAAAAATAATCTAAAGATAAATAATTAATGAAATGTTTGGGTGTTTTAAAAATCTTTGACTTATATTCAAAAACTTAAAAATCACAAAAATAAGTTTTGGGATTTTGTAAAGAATTTGTTATTTCTTCTGTTTATCAAAAATTTTAAAATATATTTTATAGGCAAAATTTGATTTTAAAACTTCAAAATATTATTTTGCATAAGATACCATTGAAATTAAAAATTTGATTTTACTCTCCTGAAAAATGTGCTACTATTGACACATCAGCTTTTGAAAAATAGTATCATAAATAATTAGTTTTAATTAATAACTTTTCATAAAGTAATTAAATCATGATTACATAATAGTTTGGTCAAATACATATTGTAGAAAAATTTATATCAAAGTAACTAACTTTTTTGAGTTAATCGTTTTTTATATAATACAAATTGATCACTTGTAGCTAATATTATTTAATATTATTTATAATTGAAAAAGAATTTAAAATATTAATTTAATGCTAAAAATTTAAAAATAACAACGGTTCATATATTAACATTTTAAATAAATTTTTTTATTTTAAATATTAGCCACAAGTGATTAATTCTTATTATAGTATAATTTATAGTTTATTTATTTATTACTAATAGAATAATTTTTATGTATCAACATTTTTTTTTTATTTAACTATTATATTTATCAAATAGATATGAATTCCTATCTAATAGAACATTAAATATTTATATTTATCAAATAGTTCATATTTTTCTTTTGATAAATAAGAGAAGATTTCTGATAAATAGAATAACGATGTTGTAAATTATTAAAAACTTAAAAATTAATAGCATCAAAGCATAGCAGTGTGTTCTTCGAAGTTAGATTAACAAATATTTATCTATACATGATATATATATATATCATTTTAAAAATGTTCAAAATTCATAAAAGAATAATATTAGTTTATGGATAATGAGACAATTAACTTTTGCATGTAATTAGCAGTTTAATGTGTGGTTAAACAAAGAATTTTTGTAAGTAACATATTTTATTACCTTATATAGGACTTTATTACCTAAGCAGATTAACATAGAAACATAAAATTATAACTCTATGTTTCCATATAAGATAAAATCTGCTAAATAATGTAAGAGCAAAAATGAATTTACAATTATTCCAGTAATTTATATCTATTCCACTTCAATCTATAGTTTAAATTTTTAAATGTTTTGAGTAGGTTATCTAATATTAGTTATTTTCAAAATATATACGTTGTTTTTATAAGCTATTTGACATCTATTAAAATTATAACATTAATCAACAGTAGCTTAACTAGTTGTAGCAAATTAAAAAAATATATTTATTGTTAAATAAAAATTTATTTTTGGGTTGAGAGAAGATTAATTTCCCAAGAAATCTTATTTTAGTTGCACGAATGAATATCAGAATCATAACTTATGTTAAAAATAGTACATGAAAAATTAATAATACAATTAAATTACTTGTAGTTTATTTTAAGAATAATGCCTCAAAACATATGATACAAGTTAAAACATAACTTACAAAAAAATCAACTGCTAAAATGTATTTTGAATATTATTATTTTGAAATTACTCGTATAATAGTTTTTAAATTTAATTTAACTATATATCAAACAAATAGATGAATTACATACAAATTAATTCATATAATTTATGTAATGGATTATTAATAAGTAATATTATAACTTTTTCCAAATATTATTCTGTAAATAATTGTATTGTGATAAACTTAAAATATTAGGCTAGTAAGTCTTATATCACATAGGAAAAATATTTAAAAATTGATTAGACTATTATAAAATCGTATATGCTAATAATCTGGAAACTTTTTGTTATTATTATTTATATGATAATAAATGTCTTATACTCATATGTTACCAATTTCTTAATCAGACGCATGTAAAAGGTTAAAATTATAAGTTTTAAGAAAAAGTTTTTGGTGATAATAGTCTAGCTAAATAGGAGTTTTTATTTTATAAGTTAATTCGAATACAATACTTTTTAATAACTAAAAGAAATTAAAATTAGAGAACATTTTTTGTCTATTTTCATATAAATAATACACAAAATAATAGAGTTAATGTAAATAGTTAAAATTATTAGTTATTAAATTTCTTACTTCAGAAATTATCTCTCATACGTTATGTTTACTGAGTGAATTTTCAACCAATGTATAATGATTGTGGTATACGAAGGTACATCTTTTCAATATTACTGAACATCTCACAAGAATATTTCAGGCAATGAAATGGTCAATATATTAATCAATTCACTTAGAAAATTGAAAACAATCAGTAGAATACACAAGAGATGATAAGAGGCTATCACTGACTGTTGGGTGTAATACCAGTGAGAACTATTGCCGGTGGTACGACTATTTCCAGACCGCCCAATTGATTGATTAGTGCGCTCCAAACGGTGAAATATTATATAACATTAAGTCAACTGTAAGAACCTACATTCGCAAAATATAAAAACAATGTATAGTTTCTTAAAAAATTTTTAATTGACCTATGATAAACATTAGAAATTCCATTAACTAAAAAACTCCACAATATTTTGTAGCATTTAGGAATTACATTTAATATTAACTAACAAAGATAGTAATTAAACTAACAAAAAAATAAAAAAATTACTGTAAATTTTATAATCAAATAATACTATTATGTAAATTTAAATTTAAACTCCATTAATATGTACATATAAAGTCTACAAATAACACTCATTCTCTAAAGACGTAGTTTTAACCATTCGATTAATAAAAAATTAGGATCATGTTGAGAATTTTTATTTAATTGCTATTAAATATATGTTTTTCAATTTATCATTCATGAGGTATATTTTGTTTATCACTTATACCATAGAAGGATCTTAATTTTTTTCAGATGGTATAAAAATTTTATTTCTTATAAGAAATGAACATAAAATATACTTTATGATTGAAAAATTTAAAAAAAAACATGGAACTAAAAGAAACCAATAAAAAAATTATTAAAAATATATTTATTTTTTGATTAATTAAGTGGTTTATGATAAAAGAATCACTTTTTACGTTTGTTGGGTTTTATATAAGAAGTAATAAGTGGATCGCCTTTTAGACCATGTCTTTTTTAAAAATTATGATAAAAAGTACTGAGTGCGCTATAAACACAGTAAATAATAAAAATTCAGGAAAAATGAATTTTAATTTTAAGATTCAAACTAAATGCGCACATATTGATTTCCTCAATGTTTTAAAATGTATATATTATTTTAAAATAATCCAGTTAACTGTTTATAATTAACATAAAAATTAGTAAAATGATATTGTCATGTTATTTTATGACTTGGGAGTATTTAGAAACTCTTTATATATCCTAATGCACTTATGGATTGTTAATGATTTCTCTAAATTTGTTATTTTCTAATAAAGTACTTTTATTTTCACCTCTACTTAAGTTATTTAGAAATGCTGTTATATATATTAAAGTATCTTTAAAGTATATCTTTATAAACTATTTGATCATTATTAAATTTTTGTTTATAGTCACTTGTACTTATATCTTTATTTTATGCTTACAAAAAAGTATTATCTGAAAATAATTTTTATTCCTCCATTTCTTATAACTCATTACTGATATTTTCATTGAAAATTAGAAGAAAAAAAATTTAGTAAATACATTTAAAACAAAAAATTTTAGATAATAAAATATTATGTTACTTTAAAATATATATATTAATGTTATAGATGAATATTATACAATTTAATAGCATTAAAGCAAAATCTTAAATTATTAATGATAATATTTAAAAAGCTAATTATTTTTATAAAAGCTGAAAATTTGAAGCGCATAATTTATTTAATTCAATAATTTTATTTATGATGTTTAAATTGATTTTTGTTAGCATAATAAACTTAACCAATTAATTGTTATCATCTTAATCAGGCTTCGGACAAAAGTCCATAAATAAATTTAAAATATATTTAATCCAAACGAATAACAAGTAATTACAAATATTTTTAATTAACCGAACAAGAAATTTATAATTAAGCTGTTTTTAAGATCAAAAGCTGTTAACTTTATCTTAAAAGCTGATGATTCAGTTTATCTAACCGATATGCCATTTAACATTTTGGTCTCTTAGCTTAATTAACATTATTTTTGGTAAGTTTATAATATAACTTAAAATATTATTATTTCGTGTGTTAGATTTCGTTGTACAAAAACAATAAAAGACGATACAAGCTGAAGGTCTATTTTCTGAGTCGCCGTTTAATAGTATTTATGTATTGACTAATTTAATTTTAAGTTTTAATCTAGTGGAACAAACCAACAAACCGGTTTACACTGTTGGGATTATCATTTGATGACCATAGTATTTACAACTGTTTATGTACTCATTGCCATTCTCGTATGCGTCCATACAGAGGTAGTACTTCTGTAGCATGAACATTTTATTCAAGACAATAGTAAACTTAATGTTCCTAATATTAAACTGTAATTGCTTTTGTTAATTATTAGATCAGAAGTTTTAAATAAAATGCATGCGTATTTGTGTTTGCTCGGGATTTTAGCTATCGTTGGATTTCAGAATTCAACTGGTAAAAAAAATATATGTTTCATAACTATTGAATAGAACTTGTTATATTCTAAAGTATTATACTTAGTTAAAACGTTATATTTTTACAGGCCAACTTGTAAGAGTGAAACTTGAAAGGGACATTGAGAGGGTACTTAATACACATGCTTTGTTATCGTAAAAATGTATGTTAACTTGAATAAACTTTTTCATTATTTTTAGAGGGTAGAAACGTGTGGCCCAGAAGCAGAATGTGTTTCCAGTATTCAAAGTTGTGACGTCACGTCTGAATCGTCTTCAACCCTTAAAAAATGTCATTATATTCAAGACTCGTGAGTAAAACATTAATATTTATTGTCTGATTACAGTGTATTAAATATACTGTAATAAATTTTATTATATTGAGCACTTCAAGTATTATAATTTCATTTTAAACAATTGTGTTTTGAAACACCCATATGCAGGTAGTATTTTTTTATTATTATGTCCTTGTATTCAAGGTGCGAAATTCATTTGTATGACTGTACTTAATTGCTAAATTACTATTAACATTCCTATTATTTAAATCTAACATTCAAATAAAATACTGTCTCTGAAAAACTCAGTTATTGTTTACTTCATATTTGTCTTTGATTCGTTAATAATTATGTGTATAAATTTCAAATACTTTTTATAAAAAGCCTAAAAAACGGATGATGATTAACGAAAAATATCATAGTAAGGCAATCAAAAACCAATGTTACATTTGTAAATGTACTAAAGCAATGACTCATATTCAACACTTTCTATTAAGTATTAAATATAAATAGGAATTATTGTTATAACATTTTTTATAGAATTATTATTTCTATACCATTGCCCTTTTGTCCCCCTTTACAAGTTTGACATAGACTAATAAAAATAAAAGTTATTTTTAGATATAATAAATGATGTACTTATTTTATTGATAATAAAGTGTTTTATAAGCTTTAAATTAAAAGGAAACAGTTTTAACTTGTTACCCTAAATATAAAACATTTATCAGTATTCGATAAATATTTGATTTTTGATAGAAAATTTTAAAAACATTTAAAATTATCAAATAAATTTTCCTTTGTGAAACAATCATTTAGAATAATTTAAGATTAACTAATGACAAAATTGCTTATGGCTCTAGGTTTTCCCAAATAAATTTTAAAATAATGCCTACTATAAAATTAAAATACCATATTAGAATTATCTTTTGTATTAAAATATAATATTCAAAATCATGCTTATATTACTAAAAAATATTAATTAAGAAGACATCTTTAATTATGACCTTGTCTGAATTTTTTATTGGATTTTTTCCAGCCGGTTTTATAAGTTTCGTAATCTTTAATACACGTTTTTATCTTTAATATAATGATAAACATTTTATAAAACCAACTTTAAATTGCTGTTTAAATATTAGATTTCTTATAAAATGTGCAATATTATAGAAATTAAACAAGAGATTAATTTGTCTATGTCGGTTTGGTTCATATTTGGGCTCTCAGAATATAATCACCAATTGACTCATTATTACAGTATTTAGAAGTTTCTCGTAGGGTTTTAAACATTTTAATATCTAAGGACTGACTCCTTCAGTCCCTCACTAGTACCAGTGTTTACTTAAATGGTTGAAGTTCACACTTATCATACGTCACCTTTCCATAAATACCTTCTTAATTTCTACAAAAATTATGTTATATATTATTAGACCTTATTTCTATACAAAGTTAGGAATCGAAATGAATTTAGGTTTTTGAAAATGTTTACCATTTTTAGTAATTTAGTTATCGACTTTTTTTTTTCAAGATTTTGTAAGTATAATAAGCGAGAAACCGAAAGTATTATGAAATCGCTTTTAAAATATTAATCGAACTTATAATTTGACCTTATAAATTGTAAGTTCAATTGAGATTTCAAAGGTGACTACATAATTTTTTAGTTTCTGTAATCGTTTTTTCAATATGTACTAAAAAAAAAATTGATATATGCAGATGAATTAATTTTTTAGATATTAGAAAAATTGTTAAAACCCAAAATATTTTGATTCTAATCCCTATTACATGTTAATACATGTATTATAATAAAAAAATAATTTTTCTTAAAATTCTTTTAGTTTTGAAATCTTATAAAGCTAAACTAAAAAAAGTTACTAATTTTCTATTTTTAATTTTATAATTAAAAAATTTACGATAATTGTAATATTTCTAGTCAATAATGATATTTTATATTTTATTTAGCCATTCGTTTTTCAGAAGAGTTGAAGGTGTTTGTTGTCCAGTTAAAAACATAGTTTTAAATAACCGAAAAAAAAGGCAAGCTAATAACAATGCGATCGAATCTGACCTATCAGAATTAGATCAAGCACTGGACAGATCGTCACCAGAACCTATAAAACCAATGCCAGAAGATCCAAACTGTGGCATTAACAGCAAAACAACTTCAAACATTGTAAATGCTCAAGTCACTAGTCCAAGTGAATGGCCATGGATGGCAGTTCTTTTAGAAAACACTAATTATATCAATTTTTGCGGTGGTGTTATAATTAATAAACGTTTTGTGCTTACAGCTGCTCATTGTTTTAAAACGTAACTATCCCTTTATAGTTTTCAATATTATAAAGAATATGAAGTACTCAGATTTTCTAAATCTAATCGAAACAAACTTTAAAAAAACATTCCAAAGTTCATACTTTGAACACTCATTTCAAATTATAGTTTAAAAAAACTTTTAGTGCTAAAATTTTATATTAACTGTTAAAAATTCGAGTTCTTATGGTAACTTTATTAATAGATTTTACTTACGTAAGTTAACAATTTATTATTCGAAAGAACATTGGATAAAGATTTTAACTGACATTTTAAATATATTTTAGAATAATACATTCTAACTAAATATTACAAATCTATAGAACTTTTTTAATACTAAATATATTAAACAATATATGAAATAACTTATAAGAGGGAAAATATCAGTCTGGGCATGCTCTATAATATACTATAACTTGGATTTGATATTTCCACTAAGTTATTAAAAATTTCAGTTAACAACTGTATACACTGACACTTTTATTTATTTGCAAAAAGTGAGATTTTAATGTTTTACTAGTGATTGGCCATTTCAAAAATTTGATATAATCTTTATAACCCGAAAATAGTATAAAATTGGTGACTCCTTAAAATTTAATGTGTTAAACTTTATTTTTACAATATTAACTTGTATAAAATTGAAAGCAACGTTAAATACATCTTAATTTAATCTTGCATCTTAATTTAAATATAGAATGTATGCCATTAAAGTAAAGTTTTAACTTAAAATTAATGTATCATATAATTACATCGATAAAATATACACTCATTTTAACATTTAGTCAAAATTTTTTGTAATTAAACAGTAATATTTGTGAGGATAAAAAATAGTATTAAATTTAACGAAAAAAAATTCTGTCAACTAAATTTTTGAATTTTTAAATTATTTATTTAAAGGGAATTAGTATACTCATTGGATAATGTAATTCTTATATAAATAAAAAAAAGTAGTTTCATAATATTTAATTATATTTTATATTGAAATATAAAATCAAATATAGGACCATTAGTGGATTTCTTAATTGGATCATGTTTGGTAATCTATCGATTACAAATTATTTATTTATTCTTACTACTTATATTTAATAATGGAGCGGTTATATAATATTTATTTAATTTTAGATACAAGCAAAAGGAAATTGTTATAAGAGTAGGTGAATACGATTTTACCAAAAAAAATGAAACACAATACACTGACTACAGACCAGCAGCAATCAGAATTCACCCAGATTATGACACTGCTACACATGCTAATGATATTGCTCTCATCAGGTTGAATAGACCACTCACATTCAGTACTTATGTCCAACCTATTTGTTTACCTAAGACCAACATGCAAATTTATAACAAAACTGCTGTCGTTTGTGGTAAGATAAATTGAATTTTGCTGTTCTTTATTCTATAATGAAGTATTTCGGTTTTGGTATGTTTATATTTCAAATTAGTATTCAAAATTTTAATCAATTTTAAATATTATTTTTTTTTTCATTTATTAAATTGTTTTTACCTGAACCACTCATAAGGAATCCCTATTTCTTTTGTGAATAGTATAAGTATTAAAAAATAGTGATACATTTTCAATTAAATCAATAACATTATTGTTAAAACAAAGGTTTACCTAAGATTTTGCAGGATCAAAAATAAAATGTCTTCAAAACAGTAAAACTCAGTTTACCCCCTTATATATGCTTGTAGTTCAAAATTTATGTCGCAGTTTATTTAAGTATTATATGCTACTTTTAATTTGTAATCAATCAAAAGAAATAAATATTGTAAGACAAGATTTATTAACGCTCCAGGGGCTAACAATGTACATTACAATAATATTATAATATATAAGTGCACCCAGAGAAAAACCTCGATCTATATAATAAATTCATTGTTCAATTTGATAAATATATCATTACTATTGAAACTATGATATATTTATCAATATGATAATTTTTTTTCTTGTCTTGAACAATAATTATTTGTAAGAATAGTTATTTTGTTCGTATTAATAAAACATTATCATAAACCCTTGATAAAATTTCTCTATCAAAATTGATTGAGGTTTTTCTTTGGGTGTGAACAATGTCTTTATATTAAGTGAATAATACTTTTTAATTTAGTATACTTCCATACTGATTTCACTTATGTAGGCATTTATGACTTAATTAGGTTGGGGCCAAACTGCGTTCGACGAAGAAATTAGTAACGTTCTTTTAGAAGTAGCTGTTCCAGTTTGGGACCATGAAGAATGTGTTCTAGCTTTTTCGCAACCAATTTTTCGTACTAATATATGCGCTGCTGAATACGAAGGCGGGAAAGATTCGTGTTTGGTAAATGATATAATATGGTTGAAAAACCACATTTACTTACACTATTCAGTTTTTCTTAATTACTGTTTTTAATTATAGGGCGATTCTGGTGGTCCGTTGTTAATGCAAAGATCAGATGGAAGGTGGACAAATATTGGAGTAGTATCATGGGGAATAAATTGTGCTCAACCAGGATTCCCAGGAGTTTATGCTAAAACAACTTCTTTTCTTAAGTGGATTGCTGTCAATACTCAGGACATTAATTAGGCAATAATAGTAAAGAAAGTGCACATTTTATTTTGCCCAATATTATAAAATAGTTCATAGCTTTTAATTTTTGATAATAAAAATTATTTCTGTAAAAATTAAATAACTTAAGTTTTAACATTAAAAAAATTAGTAAAAAAATAAAAAAGCGTGAAGATATATTTAAATAGATATTAATAATTGTAAAAAATTATAAATTGACAAATAAAATGATAAAAATTTGTACAAGTTTTGTGTAATGAATTAATTTTTCATTCAAGGCTGTATACATGAAATTAAGTTTTAGAATGATACCGTTATATATTTGATTACTTTTTAATTAAACGATCGGTACCTAAAAAAATTATGAAAAAACATAAAAATGCTTAATTTTGTTCTACTTTCATTCGAATAATGGTTAGTCTAGTAATAAATAGGCTTAAATGCATTTTACCACCCCATCGAGTTTTTTCAAATTTTTTTTTTTAATTGGTTCAGTTTTTTATACTGACTAAGAATATATAAAAAAAAATTGTCGGCGAAGTCCAGTTTAAAAGTTATGAGCTTTCAAAGTTTTCAACCATCATTGACAAATTTTGTTATATACTTCGTTTTTTTGCATTAATTCATTAGAAAAAGTATTCTCGATGATTTAGTAATCGAATTTTATTTATTTAATTATACTAAAAAAAATATTTATATGTGATAAGGTACTTAAATAAAAAAATTTACGTCGCGCCGATCAATTCAAACTGTTGCTGAAATGGTATTGCTGATACTTTTTGTACATACAGTATCAGTTTCAATGATTTCAATGATCTAAATGATTTTAGACATTGTAACTATAGAAAATTATATCTTATTAAGAGTTTAAATGTGTACTATTTTCATAAAATATGGATAAAACTAATTTACATAAATAGAGTATTAACTTTAATTAAAGTCAACAAAAATAATAATATAAATGTATTATATAATATATTAAGATGTTCTCATTGTCTAATCAAGCACCCTCAAATGAGGTCAATTCAGACTTATTTTTGAAAACGTAATATTAATAATATTAATTATAATTATAATTAAGGTGACACCGCATATTAATCTTTCAGAACATATATATTTTTTTTAATTTTAATTTTGTTAAATTTAAAAAATAGACATACAATTATGCTAAACATTTATTCATATTTCATTTAATACTATATAGTAAAAATTTACCATTTGTGGCTAATATTTTAGCTTCGATGCGAAGCTGAGAAGGTATTGGTTTTACTAAGATGTGTTTTTTTTTTTTTTTTTTGTGTCTGTTACCACTTTTTCTCAGTTCTCACCGAACGGATTTCTTTCAACGATACGTCAAAAGATCACAAATCGTATCTAGTCGAAGACATTACCCTTAATAATTGAAAAAATTTCCCTCGTTCCCCGTATATGGGGGAAACCTCCAAAAAAATTACAAATTTAAAAATCGCTAATTTTCGAAATTTTTTCAATTTTTTTTACTAAAAACTGCCATAACTTTTTCAAAAATGAACATATCAATATAATTTCTTTTTTTATAGATGCTTGATGTCTTTACCTATCATTTGGTATTTTTTTTTGTAAATTTGACACTTAACCTGCCCACAGGGGGGATTTAAAATGACAACTTTTTCACAAAAAATTTACTTTTTCAACTTAACTTTTGAAAATGTTCCGGAAGGTCTGACACTTTTATATATATCTTAAATTAAAGGTAATGTAATATACTTTTATTTAAAAAAAAAAAAATTTGACCTCTGGACTTGTCTTCATAGTGAAAATGGCTACCGAATGCTATTTTCGTGTGAAAATTCTCGATTTTATTTTTTATATTTTTAATAAATATAAATAATATAATTTTATAATGCTATAACTTATTGAAAAGTGTATGGATCAACATAATTTTTTTATGAGAAATAATATTTTTTAATAATTCATTTTTCATTTGACATACTTTATCTTAATCAGGATATAAATAAGGAACTAGCAGATCATGTAGCATTTGGAATAATCCAGCAATTTTTTTAAATTAAACACTATCTAAAGATTTGCATCGAAGCGTTTTATTTTGATATTGATTTTAATCACTGTCAGATATCATTATACTTGATCCAACTATGCCACGTCACCACTGTGCCGCGACCCCCCTGTGCTGGGTTTTTTTTTAAATTAAAATCATGTTAAAAATACTATTTAAAACTAAAAAATATTGAACTCGAAAAGTATCAAAATATTAGTAAAAAATCGTGGATACTTATTTCAGGAACGACGTTACCATTATCAACGCTAAATACATACAATAAATACGTACATAATACTAGAATATTTTATTCTGTATAATTTGAAATTTATTTAAGCTAGTTTTTTNTTTATTTTATATTTATTTTAAATTAAAAACAACAACTTATTTATTTATCAATGCAAACATTATAAAAGCAGTGTTACCACTGCAACACATAGAGGCTTAATTAATATTTTGTATAAAATTAATATTGTATGAACGAAAGTTTTGAGTGTAAGTGTAGAAACCGTTTGATTATATAGAAACGTACGTTTAATTTGATTTTAGTAGAATTTATGATGTATTCTGTTAAGGTTTTGGTCAAGATATATACAAAGGTATTTTGTAGTAGTTGATGATGGTAATTGAACATTGTTTAGCTAAAATTGTAGACAAACCTTTTTAAATGTGAAAATAGTAATACCAAGATTGAAGATCATTGAGATGAGATTGCAAATTATCTTAAGCTATTTGAATATTTTCGTGAACAGAAAGAATAGCTTTTTCATTGCATATTCTACTACAGTTGTATTAGGATGAGTAGGTTGATGAGCTGTAAATGTATTAAGGGAGCATGGTATAGCATTCTGACATTATATCAGATTTCGTTTAAAGAGTTCTGCGATAGTGTAATGTAAAGTTGCGTTCTATGAGGTAAGATTTAAAAAATAAGTAGTATAAAGGTGGTAAGAGTAGTATTAATTTAAAAAGAAAATCATCATCGTCAGCATTATTGTTTTATTTCAATGAAGTTACAGTTGAGTCAGTTAATTGATTAATTTATTAAATAGTTGAGTGTCTGCTGTGAAAATCAAATTGTGAATCGGCTATAATAATTTTTTGAGTTATCCATAAAGTTTAGATAAAAATTACACATCTAGAAATGTTTTGGTAATCGTGGAATTATGAAAGTTCTAGTATCATGAATATTTTGTCGATTTAATTTCTTATCATAGGTAGATAATGAATTGTAGTATTATGTCATCATTTATTATATTAGCAAATAATATATTATCATTTGTACATGTATGTCACATTATATTTACATATTCATTTATTATGAATATACAAGTAAACCAAAACAGGGTTCCCTTCTTAAAACAAAAATAATTATGGAATACAATTTAATTATTGTACAGGCTTAAAGTAACGCCTATGTGTAGAGCTTCAATTAAGGGCAGCCAATTACATTTAACAATTAATTAAGATCTCTAGCTTCCAAGATTACGTTAGTAACTAACGTAATCTTGGAAGCTAGAGATAACTGTTATCGATACACTGTTTTCCTCTGACCATAAAAATCTACTTTTTCTTATTAAAACCAGTTATTTCAATAATTTCAAAGTATACAAAATCTGCGACACTAATCAAGATTCTCACTTTCTGGGACTATCCGTTTTTTAAATTTAATTTGGACTTAGAATATTGTTTCAAGTTAAATGGAATTTAAAATATATTAAACTGAACTTTGTTTTGGCGAATCTATTAATTTAAGTTTATTTGTTTATTAAATAATAATTAACGCGTAGTGTGAAACGTTTACGCAGTGAATTTAATAAACGGAATCAACGTTGAATTGTTTAAAATATTGTTACGTGTCATAAGATATAAGGTAAGTGCAAATTTAATTTATGCTTTCGAACCATAAACAATCTATTGCATAATTATCCACACAGGTAAATTATGAAATTTTAAGGGATTTTTAACATTATTTATCCAATGCTGTTTAACTCACGAGATCAATCTATTATTTGGTCATAAACATTTATACTTATTTGGCTATAACCCCTATATGTTCAGCCGCCATTTACTCACCATTTTAACCCCCTTTTTTTATGTATATTTCATTATTACCTATCCATAACATTTTTACGTTTCTTTTTAATTTGGTTTATTACAGTATTTACATAAATGTGTCTGAGATCTTTATGAATAATTTTTAAAGGTCTCCCAATTAGATCATCTAACTTAACGTTTTCATTTTTTTATTATTTGTTATATATTTCAACTAAAAAAACTACTGTATATATATTATTCAAACTATTTTGATTAGTTACCATAACTATAATATTGTTGAAGTAACTAAATTTCCAGTTGTAAAACTAAACATTTTATTAAAATTACAAACGTAAGCTTGTCAAACGGTTTTCGTAGAGATAATAGTATTATTAGTACTTAGGAAATCCGAGCTTTTTTTAGCCAACTCTGAATAATAGATGGTGAAGATAGTATTACAAATATTAAATCGTAAAAAGTTATATCAATTTTTTTATTAATTATTAAAAAATTATTCAGTTGTTTTACAAAACGTTTCACTTAAACAATCTTAATTAAATTAAAAATAAAATTCGTATAACTACACTTTATGTTTATATAAACAATAATATCTAAGAAACAAAGTCGAATGAGAAAAATATATAATAAGACTCTTAAAATTCCCATATTAAGTAAATAAATCGCACTCGGGAGTATAAATTGTTGAAACAATTTTATCAAATAATTGATGTGTTAATATTACTAACATTTGACTAGCATATGTCTTACTGAAGTTTTTCTGTTAATTCTTTTGTTTGAATAATAATGTTCAATACAAAATTCTATTATAATTTTTTAATGGCATTTTGATATTATTTTTAAAATCTACCAGAGTGCAACAGTTCATTACTCCTGCTGCTAATGTTTTATCAAATTGAATCCATTTAAGTCGCTTGCATAATCCAGGTCTACAAAAACGTGTGGCTGGATTGTTGATAGGATTGGCATGTGGATTATTAAATCCAACAAAAGTTATAGCTTCACCATGTTCTTCGTCTATAATGATTTTCCAAAAAAGAGCTGGTACTGGCATTGCGGGTTTGTTATATTTACCTTTAGTTAAATAAAGAGGTTGTCCGTTTATTAATAAGGTTCCATGTACACCTGTATATACTGTTAAGTTAATTTTTCTAACAACAGCTAATCTTCGTACGCTATTCTCTAAAATTAACCAATTTCCACTGTTAAACGATTGCCATTGTGGTGCAGTATTAATATAATAAAACGTAGCTTCTTGTTGAGATGCATACACAAAGTCTGCTTTAGGAGCAAAATGTCCCCGAGATAGATAATGACCGTTATTTATATACTTATTAGCAATTTTTCTTGGTAAACTCCTATACATCATTCTCATCTGATTTTTCTTAGAATATGCTGTATTGGGGGAGATATTATCATAAATATTAGTACTTTCTTTAAACGAAACTCGTGGATAATCTTTTCGGCCTCTAAAAATTGTATAAAAAAAACAATTTAGTAAAAAACAATAACCTCTTTTTAGCTTCGACGCGAACCTGAAAAGGTATTAATTCGACTATGATAAGTGTATTTTTTGTGTAGAAATAAATTCTGAGCATCTACTGAATAAATTTTGCTCAACGATACTTCGATTCGATTAATGAAATGGTCAATTATAAAGAATCACACTGGTTGTATACAGAATTGAACAGATTTACTGACAATTCATATAACTTATGATCTACATAACATTTTAAAATTTTTTAAATCAATTTCATACTATATAAGACTGCATAAAAATATGTTTTATGTTATTTTTAGCAATTAAAAAATATATTTTAAAAATTAACTTTTTTATTAAATTTTTTTCAAGATTTGAAATTTTATAGATAAGTACGCGATTTCTTTCCCATGGATAATAATAACGTTTAATGCGCTTTATACAGAAATGATTATCTCTAATCTTTATTACAAAAGTTAGAAACATTATCGTTGTCAACTATGAGTATTCCATGGTTATTCAAGTTAAAAGTGATAACAATTATTAATTTGCGTGATTCTATCATTGTAATCATATTATTATAGGATATTCCTTGTTAGGAGATTTGATAATAAATGCACTTATTATTACTCACGTTTAAATTTATGATATATGAACTTATTTAATTAAAAACCTAACATGTTTTAGACAATGTTTTTATAATTTTTTTAATAATCTTAATTATACTACTGCTTGTTTTTTCAAATTTTTTAAAAATTTATCTATAAAAACTTCAAATCTTAAAAAAAATTTTAATAAAAAAAATTAATTTTTAAAATATTTTTTGTAATTGTGAAAAATAGCATAAAACATATTTTAAATATAGTTCTATATTATAAAAATTGATTTTAAAAATATGAATTATAAAATGTTATGTAGATCATAAGTTATATGAGTTGTCAGTTAGATCTGTTCCACTCTGTATATATATATAAAATAATTAAAATTCATTAAATAATAAAAATTATAAATTTTTATTTATTTTAATACTTACGCAAGTACATTAGGTGTAATTTCATGTTTGGCGAATAATGACGTAACGCTGTCTTTATCAAAACACACATCTATCATGTTAAGTTGTCCTATATTATGAATCTGAAAACCAATCTGATAGTGTAAAACGTTGTTGCCGACACCAACGCATTTTCCTGCTAAGAATAATTTGGACTGTGGAACTTTTTGGCATACATAATCGCTAAATATATGTTGATCGTTGCCTGAACCATATGAGTCATTACCTAAGCACTGAACTTTTTGTAGATCAACAGAAGTTTTCTGTCGAAAAGTTGTCCCTGGACACGCCAGTATCATTTGTTCGTGTTTATTTAATTGTACAGTATTATAGTACTTAGGATACATAATACCAACTTTTTTATTTTTATGATCATACTTTACTATTAGGGGATGTGTTGCAGTCATATCATTTTTAGTGTTGATTTTACATCCATTTTGATTATTGTAAAAATTAAAACCTAAAAATAAAAGTCACTTCATATTAAAAATTTGACATTTACATTTGTGTGAATCTTATACTTACGATTTTTGGTAATATAGTTAGAGTTAAAGCGATGGGAATAAGCAGTTGAAATAATAAAGAAAGTTAATAAAGGAAAAATTGAAAATAGAAACATTTTAAAAACTTCAAAGCCAAATTATTTCTTTTAAGTTCAAAGACTCATTTGTAAGCTTTTGATAAGTCTTTTTAAAATTTATTATTAACTTAAGCCTTAAGCATCAAGGTAAAACACAAATAGCTATATTTTTCATTGCGTTATATGTATTGATATTTATACTCAATGTCGTTCTCAGGGTTTCCTCTTGGAAGGAGATATGCGTAAGAAATTTTTTTTACTCCCTCCAAAATAAATCCTTACCATATATATTTATTTTTATTGTAGGGGGGTTTTATACCCCATATCCCTCCCCTTGGAAAACCCATGTTTATACTTTAATCAAAGTAGCCAAAAAAAATTAATTGTTTACGCATATGCTGACGTAGAATAATAACACATTTTATATTATTACTGACATGAGTTTTAACATAAAATTTATGTTTTAATGTAGAAAATACTAAATATGAAAATTTTCGAATATTTTTGTAAGCAGAAACGTGTTATAGTTAAAAAAATTAGGTCATTATTTTACTGAATATTTTATATGATTTATTGTTATATTAAATATTTACTTAGAACAATCACGTATCATAAATCGATTTACGTATGTTTAAGTTGCGTTAAAAAAAAATTAATGCGCTTTAAAACTGTTACTAATGTACGACTGATATAGGATTGCTAAGTTATTATAATAAAAATANAAAAAGAATAAAGCAGTAGGACCAGATGAAGTGCCAGTAGAAGTATGGAAAATATTAGGTGATGTTGGCATAAGGTGGTTGAAGAAGGAACTTTTAAATAAAATCTTATTAGAAGGGAAAATTCCAAATGAATGGAGGGATAGTATTGTGGTGCCGATATTTAAAGGTAAAGATGACACACAAGAGTGTAGAAATTATAGAGGCATAAAGCTTATGAGCCATAGTATGAAAATTCGGGAAAAGATAATAGATAAGAGAATAAGAAATGAGACATCGGTATCTAAAAACCAGTTTGGATCTATTCCTGGTAAGTGTACAATGGAGCCATTATTTTGTGTGATGCAGCTAATAGAAAAGTTTAGAGAAAAAAAGAAAAAGCTGTGTATAGTATTTATAGATTTGTAGAAAGCGTATGATAGAGTACCAAGAGGTTTTAAAGTGGGCATTAATGAGAAAACGAGTTCCGAAAAGGTACATTAATATAATAGAGAATATATATGGCATTTGTACTAGGGTAAAAAGTGTAGAAGGAGTAACAGAAGTTTTTAGGGTAAGAGTAAGAGTGCACCAACGTTCTGCTTTAAGCCCTTACTTATTTTCTATAGTGACGGATGAAATTACTAGAGAAATACAAGGAGAGGTGCCATGGTGCATGTGGTTTGCTGACGATATAGTGTTAATAGGAAAACATAGAGAGGAAATTAATCAAAGTCTAGAGGTGTGGAAATCAACTCTTGAAGAAATACGGAGGTCAGTGACTATAGGCGAGGTGGAAAGTTTTAAGTATTTAGGATCAGTTGTACAAAAAAATGGTGACATTGACGAGGATGTCAGACACAGGATTAAGTGAGGGTGATTGAAGTGGAGGGAAGCGTCTGGTGTGTTATGCGATATGAGAATTCTAATAAAGCTAAAAGGTAAGTTCTATAAGACTGTAGTGAGATGAGTAATGATGTATGGTTCATAGTGATGTTCGGTTAACAAGAAAGTAGAGCAGAGTATGAGTGTAGCAGAGATGAGAATGCTTAGATGGATGAGTGGAGTGACTAGAAAAGATAGGATAAGGAACAAACATATAAGAGGGAGTATAGGTGTAGCATCAATCATGGATGAGATGAGAGAAAATAGACTTAAATGGTTTAGTCATGTTATGAGGAGAGAGAAATTGGAAACTGTAAAAATAGTTATGGAAATAAATGTTTAGAGAAGTAGAGGTAGCGAAAAGGCAAAAAAGAGATGGAGGCATGCTTCCATTGAATTGGAGATTGAATGCGATTTAAGGACAGCTGATATAAGCGTAAATGATGTGGGCGATTGATGTCAAGTGGAAGTTTAGGATAAGGGTGGCCGACCCCAAGTAGTTGGGATTTAGAGGAGGAAGAAAAAGAAGATTTATTTAATGTTTTATGCATTAAAAAAAATAAAATTTGACAGTAGCTGGTTCTTAAAAATTCAATTTTTTAAGTAAATTGTTGTTAATTTGAATTTAATTTTTAGCTACTGTTAATATACATTATTAGTTATTTTTTAATGAATTAATAATTCAGGAAGTTTATTTTTATAATTAATATAGACTTAATTATGTAAAAAAATAGAAAATTTTATTTTGGTTGACTATTTTCAAAGTAATGGACATAGAAACTTTAGTTAAACAATGAATAAGACTTCGTAGAGTAATGATAAGAACATTAAATTCTATTTGAATTATTAAATCAGAACAGTTATTATTAATAGAAGGTCATGGATAAATTTTACATCAAATTATTTTCGTCGATCAACTTGTTTTTGATGATTCAATGTTTCAAGTATTATTTTAATTTCGATATTAGAACAGTTAATTTTGAAGGTGCGACACTTTATAAAACTTATTGTCAATGTCAATAGAGGTTATTAAACTTAATTTTGATAGATTCTATAGAAAATACCCTACAGGATTATTAAGATTCCTCACCTGTTCAACCAGAATACTGGAATAGGAACTTTGAAGCTTTAGATTTTAAGGCAAACTCCGACAAATAAAAAGCTTAAACGTGTTTATTATGTTAAACTATACTAATAGCTAACTTCAAAAGAGTCATAGTTACTCCTTGTTGTCCGGAAATCCAAGGGGGCCGGATCGGTCCACTGGCCGTCGGAGACAACAGTTCGGAGAGTCTTGGGTCTACTAATCCATATTTGGAGACCGTAATGTAGACTATTATCTACCTATCGTAATAAGAAAGAAAACCGCGCGACAGGGTTTAAACCAAGTGACGCCGTAGTTCTTCTCTACCCAGTATAGTGGAAACCTTTCCTAAATGGGTTTGTAGAAACCCACCAGTACTATTCCCTTTTAGCAGCTGTTATGGTGCACGGCAGAGCACCACCAGGGATCTCAACATCACGAAGTGATCAAAAAAGGAGGTTTAATGCTGGGAATAGAGTGTGATACTCTGCCCGTTAAGAAACTAAGTTCATATATAATGTTAGGCACCTAGACCAGATAATACTTGAATGCTCTAATTGGTTTATTTTTATTATTTTATTATCTTCTTTAGTTGATTTGTTTAATTTGAATTAGATAGTAAATGAGGGCACAATTTATCATATAATATTAATTGTTTATATATAATTAGCAAATCAACACCTAAATAGGTATAAATTGTCGAATAAATTTTTTTTTCAATATTGAGTGTATTTCAAAAGTTTTAAATTTGTATGAATCTGAAAAACACAGCGTTTTAGAGTAGTTTCAAAAATTGAAATAAAAAAATAATTGAAATGAGTTAACGGTTTTGTTCAAATTATTTCTGAACTTTTTTATTGGATTCTCATGAATAGTATTGTCATTCCAGAGAGAATATTTTGATTACTGGCTTATTATGATATTAGATTGTAAAAAATAGCAACCACGTTACAGTTATTAATAATTTAACTAAAAAAAAAACAAGGGAGTACTAGAGATGAAAATGAATACAAAGATGAAAATTGCCTAGTTTGTACGTTGCATTATCGGGAGAACTAAGAATAGAAAATCATCTCCCAAAATAGAACACTTTATATATTTTTTAATTTGTATATATACATATTATCCATCAAAAAATAGTGAATTATAATTTTATATGAAACTATATTATTTTTTATGTAGAGAATTTAAATATAATATAAATAAATACCTTGAAAATTAAAATAATATTAGTTATAATATTTGTAAGATATAAGATATAAGTTTATTAAAAATAATTGTTTATAAAATATCAATTATAATATTCAAAGAACTATTTCAATTATTATCAATACTAAAAATCACTCATTTAGACCTTTCTTTAATAAAATATCATTGACTTCTATTTGAGGAACTTTAATTATCTTACTGAAATCTTTATAACTGCAACAGTTCATAACACCTTTCAATGGATCGGTATCGAATGAGACCCAGTTAAGCTGTTTACACAAACTTTTTGTACAAAATTGCGATGTTGAGTTACCAAAGCGGTTTGCGAATGGATCATTACAACCTATAAACACTATTGCTTGGTCCGTATCTACATCATGAACTATCTTCCAAAATACAGATGGCACTGGTATTGCAGTTTTTCCAGAAGAAGTATAAGTCAAATAAATAGGTTTTCCATGGATATTTAAAACTCCATGTACACCAGTATATACTGATATATTTGTTTTACGATCTTCAGCTAAACGTCTTATACTGTTATTTAAAATTTTCCAATTTCCATATTTAAATTTCTGCCACTGTGGCGCGGTATTAAAATAATAAAGTGTTGCTTTTTGTTGTGATGTGTATGGAAAGTCTTTCTTCGGTACTAGACTACCTCTTAATAATATGTGACCATTTTCAGTATATTTTTTTGCAACGTTCTTTGGTAAATAATTGTGAAGTATATTATATTGATTGGATTTTTTATATACTCTTATGGTAGAGACGTCTTGAAAACCAGGACTATATTTAAATATTTCTCTTTCTAAATTGGATTGTTTGGTAAATTGATAGACTCTGAAAATAATTAAACCTATTTTAAGTTTGCATCTTTAAGTCTATCTAAAAATACTAAATAATTGATAGAATATAGTGTTATATCCAGGATATTTTAATAGGAGTCTAATAGTAACAATTTATTTTAGTGCTTTTTTTTGGTCATTTTTATTTTAAATATAGATTTAGTAAGGCAGATGGATTGAACTCAAGCCTGGATCCTGGATATGCCACTTATTGTAGTTATTGTTTTTATGATTGTTTAAAATTCCTCATGATGTATAATGAGGTATTTTCTAATAAAAAAACATATAACCATATTCAGTATAAATTTTCATCATCGAAAATTTACAAATCCTGCTAACGATTTTTGAAAATACAAATATTCAAAAAAATACGTATGCAGCGTATTCAATAAAATAATGAGTTTGTATAAGTTTTTAGTGTACCAATATTTGTGTAATTAATTAAACTGTTATGAAAAAATAGTTACAATTCCCATTTTCAATAAAATACATAATTATTAAAAAAACAATTATATTTACGTCACAATATACTTATATTAAAACCAAAAATAAAATATACTTACGTATTAAAGTTGCTTGCAAGCTTATGAATTGTATATAAAGGAGTTAAGTTACTTTGGTCAAAATACAAGTCATATTGTTTTAAGAATCCTTCTTGCTTCAAGTCAAATCCTATTTTATAGTGCACAATCTTCTCACCGTAGGCTGTAATTCTCGTTTCTAATTTTTTTATAACTGACTGTGGACTTTTGTCACAAATAAAGTGACTTATTTTGTTCTTTTCTTTGTCTAAACCAAATAGATTATTACCGGAGCACTCAATTTTCTGTATATTTATGCTTTTATTATTTTTTAATTGTCCGTCTGGACATGCTAACAACAAATATTTTCCAACATCTACATGAATAGTGTTATAATTATCAGGGTGTATGATCTCTTTATCTAGAGGATCCAATATTAATGGAAATTCTGAAGATAAATCAGTTACAATATTGATTTTGCAACCTAAAAAAGTTAATCACTTTGTACATTTATTATAATTTGTATTTTACTCTTGTTAATGAAATAAATATAATTATTTAAGATTTTGAAGTACAAAATAAATTTGAATAAAAAATAATAATTTTCAGGCTAAAATATATTTATTACTTCAAAATTAGTAAAAGTATCCTTGAATATGAATGCTTACCATTCGAATCTGATGTGACTTGATAAATGTACATTAACAACATAATTATGAATTGGACTTGGAATGAAAACCATAGAGTATTGAATAATTTCATAGTAAAAATAATCATATTTTGTTTTATGAGAATTCTTTGTTAAATATTTATTTTTTTAATATTTATTTCATGAGATAATCTCAATTGATAATTTAAAAAATCTTAGAAGATTAAAATATTTTTTAATTTTTAACATTTTTAGATGTTATTACTGTTAATTTAAATATAATACATAAAATCTTAAGTACTTCATTAATCATATAAGCCAATAAAAACATTTGTAATTTGTTAGTTATAAAACACATTTCAAAATCAAAAGAACAAACATCCACGTAATCAATTATAAATTAAATAGAAAAGTAAGACGTGCGTCATATTTTTCATTATATTATATTCAATATATCATGTCTTATTAAGTTAAAAAAAAATTCAATTTAGTATTTTTAAGTATGATTTAATTATTTCTATACAATATTTAACTGTTCAAAATTTATTTTTTATTACAAACTATAAATTATTTTACCCTATCAGTAATAAAAAATATTATGATAATGTTTTTCACGACTTTAGACTCAAAAAAATAATTATTTACTTAAAAAGACTAAACTAAAAAAATATTCAAAAGAAGTTACACACACATATTTAATATTGTATAATTTGACACGTAGCTGAGAAGCTTTTGGTTTTACTCTGCCGTATTTTTTTTTTTTTTTTTGTTACTACACACTATTAATTTCACTCTGGACTAATTTTACACAACAATGCTGCAAAACATATTTAGTTGAAGCTATCAGCATCATAATTTTGAAAACATTTTCTTAATCTTCTTTATAAAGAAAATGTCCTGATGAATTTGTTGTTAAAAAACTAAAAATTAGTTATAAAAAAGTCAATTTTGATATTTTTAGTATTTACTTTATAATGAAATAAGTTTTAAAAATTGGACGGAATATTGAGAAAAATTTAATATCAATATTTTAAATATTTACTTATTTAACGACATATTTTTTATTTTAAATCCAATTATTAACTAAGGTACATTAGAGAGGAATTAAAATCATATCAATGATTTATCTTTTCAAGTTTTGAAAATGTTTTTAAAACCCTGAATTTTTATAACCTACATTACATTAAATATGATAGAATATACTTAAAGATAAAAAAAGAAAAACAATGCGAAATCTCGATTTTTATAAGTTATCATAAGTTACAGCGAACACTCGTAACATTTTTTGGTAAAAATAGCTGATTTTGTAGTTTTTTGGTTAGTAATATCATAACTTAAAAATTAATAAAAATAAAGAGTGGCAAAGGATATTGAGAATGGGATAAAACTGAGAGTTGGAGTGGGAGTTACTTTTGATTGGGGTATGATTCGAGGGTCATAAAATAACAGAAATATCGACTCCTATTGATTTTTAAAATCTTGCCTGATAATTCTCCTGGTTCTTATAATATCTTGAATAATAATATTAATCAATAATTGTAAAATAAAATAACGCAATTCGATATTGTTCACAACTTTAACACGTAAGAACCTTGACAATGATGATCGCAATATCCGCGTAACGATATCTAGGACACGAAAAGAACAGGCTAGAATAAGGGTTTGCTCTAACTTTTTATAATATATTTTACCGCCAAAAATCATCATTGTTTAATTCTTACAGTATAACTGTATATTGATAAGTAAGCATAAAATACAGAAATTGTGATATATATATATCATTATGACATTTTTTATATAATATCAACATAGTTTTTTACACATAAGATTAGGGCTGATACAATGCATTTAATTATTAATATTAGAATAAAAAGGAAAAAAAATATTGATGTCTTCGGAATAAAGGATTTTAAAAGTGACCATTAATTGATTTATGATTGAATAGTGTATATTACAATATGCGTTTTCTATTTCTCATAAATATTTATTTAAATTATATATGTTTGAAAAGGATTATGTCCATCTAAGAATATAATGATTAAATATCCCATTTTATAGTAGTGAAGACTATATTACGACAGTAAGAAAATACTCACATCATTCTAAGTTATGTATATTATTAAGTTATAGCTTGTATAATGTAATATACAGAGTAATTTTTTATCATAACCCATCACTCAATAACTTACAAAATAAAAACAATTTAGACATTTTTTCTTTTTTGATACCTTTAGTTAACATATATTGCTGAATTATTAATTATTTAATACTTTTTAAGTTCATCAATTGTGCTTTGTAAGGGTGTCAGATTTTTCTTCAAATGAGAATACACATTTTGAATTTAATAAAATTTTTGTGGTTTTATTTTAATTGTAAAAGGCATATAAAAATAATAAAGCAGTAGGATCATATGAAGTGCCAGAAGAAGTGTGGAAAATATTAGGTTGTGTTGGCATAAGGTGGTTGAAGGATGATTTTAATAAAATCCTATGAGAAGTTTGACAAAAGAGAACACAAGGTGGGTGAAATGAGGAGATCAGTGATAGTAGACGTGGACGTGATAGAAGAGGTAGAAAGTATTAAGTATTTAGGATCAATGTGCAAAAGAACGGCGGTGGTGATTTTTGACATGTTAGGGAGTCAAAGATGATTCTTGGCTAGGCTAATTATGGATGGGAAAAATGTTTTGGCCAGTTTGCGCCAGAGAACAAACACTACCTTTTCGAAAATTTCAAGAAAAATCTCGTTGCCACTTTAGCGATAGAACCCTGGACCCCATATGTCGAAATATACATTTGTACCTATTAGGCCAACTCATTTAATTATTTAATATAATATGTAATATATTATTAATACTTTAGTAAGCCCATTCTTAAAATAATTAATTAGGTAGATTTTCACATGATAACACCTTCAAGAAATTAGAGAAATTAAAAATTATTTTTAAGAAGTACAATAAAATAGGTTTACATGTGCAGTGTCATTGTGTCTCCTATGATTAACTAATGAAGGTATCCAATGTGGAAATATAATTTTAGATATATTATTAAATGAAAATTCAATTTTATTTAACTTTGAATAAATAACTTTTGGATATAATAATACATGAGTTCAATTTTATGTAATAATAGATAAAAAATAGTCAATATACTAAATTAAATATCAGACAGATTTGAACCCTCACATAGCGCGAAAATGTTTACAATTTACTCAGTCCATTTTTAAGTTAATAGGCAACTTGATAGTTGAAAACAAAATAATCATTTTGATATTTATTAATGAATATATTTCATTTATTAAAATATTTGTTTAATAAAAGTAGAATATAAATCAGGTAAACATATTTTTCGTTTTCTTTAATACTTAAGCAGTGTTAAAGTTTAAAAATCTACTATGGGTGAGACACAGTAGTGTGAAATATTAAATAGTAATATAGAAAAAATGTTTTCAGTGACAACCTTTTTAATTGCAGCAACATCAATATGAAAAATTTAAGGTTAATTTTGCGGTAATCTTTCCTATAGTGAAGATTATATATAATGAATAATACATCTATAATTGTAATAAATATAAATACACTACGGTGATTTCTTCAAAGTCAGAAATCATCTTTCGTGAATTAGTTTTTTAATTTTAGCTTTGATGTGAAGCTGAGGAAGTATTTATTTTTGTGATATACAAATTCGCATTTAAAATATAAAAATATTTATGTTTATGTAATAACAGTAAATAAGATCAAAATGTATGAGGCGGCCATTAGTATGTTGTAATTTACTATGGATATGTTTAAATTTAAAAATATGAATAACGAAGTAAAATTAAAACTATATTAAAAATATTATTAATTTAAAAAAACTAAAAAATATTACACTCAAAGCCACAAAAAATTAATGAAAAATCGCAGATACGTATTTCGGAAACAATGTTACCATTATCAACGCTAAACACATACTGACATATACATATACATACTGTCAGTATGTGTTTAGCGTTGATAATGGTAACATTGTTTCCGAAATACGTATCCGGGATTTTTCATTAATTTTTTGTGGCTTTGAGTTTAATATTTTTTAGTTTTTTTAAATTAATAATATTTTTAATATAGTTTTAATTTTACTTAATTAATTAGCCACAAGTGATTAATTTTTATTATATAAATAACGAGTTTTTTGTAAAATAAAATTATTATTAGAAAACGACGATTTGAACACAAGCATAATATTTATTTTTGAACTTTTAAACATTTTTAATACATCTTGATATATTTTTTGAAAAAAAACTAGCAATGATAAATACAAATTCAGTCTAAATATATTGTAGGAATACATATAAAATTATTAATATGAGTACTGTTCATATTAGTAATATAAATATAAAAGAAAAAATATAATATTTTTAGTATAAAATATCCGTTGATGTTATCACAGGAACATTTAGTTTGGCTTTAATACTATGATATTCACAACAATAAATATTTCCTTTGAGGGAATCGTTTTCAAACTTTACCCAACCGATTTTATCACAAAAGCTTGAAGAACATATTTGTTTTGCTGGATCTACATAACGGCCTGAGAATGGATTGTTGTAGCCAACAAACACTATTGATTTGTCATTGTGTTGCACAATCTTCCAAAATATAGTTGGTACTGGAATTACATTATAGCCTAATTTATGCCGTGCCATATGCAAAGGTTTTCCAGTAATATTTAATTCTCCATAAACCCCCGTGTACACAGTCAAATCAATTTTTCGATTATTTGCTAATTTTCTTATTGCATCTTCTAAAGTTTTCCAATTTCCATTTTTAAATGATCGAAATTGAGGTGCGGTTAAAACATCAAAAGATGTTGCTTTTTGTTGGGCTAAATATGGAAAATCTTCTATAGGGACGAGATTCCCATTAGTTAAAAAATGTTTACCATCTATAAATTTTTTAGAAATAATGGGTGTCACGTAAATATCTAATTTTTTTTTTTGTTGATCCTCATTGTATACATTATTAAGTGAAATTTTTTTGAAATATTGCGTCGTTCTCTTTTCAGTTAACTTTTCAGACACTTCATCTCTAAGAAGATTATAAAAAATTATTCTCATAAATTGATGTAAAAAATCTTTAATTATAATATTAAAAAATTACTATTTAATTGTGTGTGATAAATATAAATTTAATTTTATCAAAATGACAATTTACATCAGTATTTAATATTGATATCACTTTTTACATACTTACGTATTAATATTTTTTGTAATGTTATGTGTAGTGTACATAGGCCTTAAGGTTTTTTTATTAAAATATAAGTCAATCAACTCGAGAAATTTTTCATTGTCTAATTCAAATCCAATTTTGTAGTGTATTAAGTTGTCATCTTCAGTACATTTACCTAGTTTTTTCAAAGAAACTTTTGGAGGTTGCTTGCATGTATAGTAATTAAATTTGTGTTTTTCTTCACCGATGCCAAAGAAATTATCTCCTAAGCATTGAACTTTTTGAATTTTTAAATTGTCGATTTCTTTAAAACTACTTCCGGGACAGGCTAATATTAACTCATCGCCAAAATCAATATTAATATCGTTGTTTTCTGGTTGTAGAAAATCAATTTTTCCGGTTAATTTATTATTGTATAATATAAGTGAATTTTGTTGAGTCATATCATGTTTACTATTAATTACACAACCATCATCTAAAACAATTATTAATAAATTAATATATTTGGATTGTCTAAGGGTAGAATTAGTTAAAGCATTTTTCTTACTATTAAGTGAATTCGAAGTTACTTGTAATATAAAAAACATTATTCCTGAAATAAAATGTGATAGAAAAGTTGTGTTCAATTTGAAATTCATAATTGAATAAAATGAATTTGTTTTATATGTAAAATGAAGGAAATTCGATAACTCTTGATTCTTATATTTGACTTGGAACCTAAAAAATAAAAAAATTTTTATTTAATAATATGTTTTATAATTATAAAATATCAAAATATCATTGTAATAATTAGGCACGAAAAGAGAGTCAAAAATAGCTCATATGTGCTAATATAACAGTTTGTAGAAATATTTATTCTTGCAGGATAAAAATTTTGATTAGAATATACTCAACACATATAATAAATATTTAATTTTTTCTCCAATCAAAATATGTGACTATCATTAAAAAATATTAATTAGAACGTGATTTGTTTTAAATATTATTGTACTGAATGTATTTTATCAAATAAATAAATAATATATAGTTTCATTAAATTAAGAACTATAAAAATCATTTTGCATATTATTCTTATATATAAATATAATTAAAAAAATTAATTAATTAATTGAATTTTTTATAAACTTTAAATATGTATGTATTAAAATTAAAAAATAATAATAATCTGTTTCAAATATAAATATAAATTTGTAAAAAATCTGTTAATTTTCAACATATCTTTAAAAACGATTATAATAATAACCTTTTATTACAATAAATAAACTAACCTTTGAGCAGCTTCACTAAATTTATTGACTTTAAGATATTATAACTAATTATATTTAGTTATAAAGAATCATTACTGAAAAATTAGTATATAAAAATTATTTAGTCCTAGACAAATCAAACTTATGTAAAATGATACGTTAATTATCTCAATTTATATTTAAATTTTCGAAGATTATTGACAGTGTATGACGCAATAATTTTTATAAATTATAATACTTGATCTTATGAGTAATATTTTAAATAATATAAACAGTAAAATGTTTTTTTTCCATTTATTTTTTAGTCAAAGTAAAAATTAAAAAATACATTATACAGCATGTTAATATTTAACGATAGTTTTATTTGATTCATTTACGTTTTAATTGATTTGAATTGCGAAAAAAACAAAACATCTTTAAAGATATTTAATATCATCTTACAAACGTGTACAGTTTAATCAAGACTGGAATGAGAGCGCTCCAGGGAAAAAATTCCCTAGAACCCATGGATTTTGGGGATCTATTCATACCCCCAAAATCAATACTAAAAGGTATTTAAAAAAGGTACTTAAATATTATGATACATTAAATTAATTTTTATCATTATTTTTATTTTTTTATTTGAATTTTTTTAAATATTTGTCAAACAAGTTAAATTTTTTTAATGAATACTATTTGAAGTATAATTTATTATTTCATTATTATTTTTTTTTACTACTAAAAAATATAATAGCGTGTGATGTAGTGCTTCAAAATGATTCATTTTCGTTTGAAAAATATGATGTTTTGTACATTTTTAGTATATTTAATTTGATAAATTTAGATAGAATATAATAAAATATAGAATTTTTATACCTGAACTTTGATAATAAACTCTGAGATATTTGTACCAATAATTTTACTTTCAATGACAGATACGTTTTTATAGAAGAATTTCATACACTTGAAATCCAATTACTATACTTAGATAATAATTGAAAAAATTTTTTTTTTATATTTTTCGAAAGAAAAATTCTTTGCAAGAATTTTTATCATGTTAACCAGAGTTAGGATACGAAATAATTTAAATTTTTGATCATTTTTCTTTAACTAGTAAATTAGATCATTTATATTGATTTTCTTTTTTAGTAAATATTGAATAATCGATTACAGAAACCAAAAATATTCTGTGACCGTATTAGGAACATTAATTAAACCTAAAATTGTTAACCTTACAAATTCTTGAAAAATTTTTCGATATTTCTGAACTAACTTATTGAATATGATAAAAAAAGGTTAAAACCCTAATTCATTTCAGTTCCTAACTATGAAGTTATCCACTCAATACTGTCCCCAATAATAATCATCCAAAAACATTTTTAAATATAAAATTCAAAAAAATAATTAGTTTATTTTTACGTTTTAATACTAGATACAATTAATACCTTTTAGTTAGATAAATAAATATATATACATTTGCAATTTATACAGACTAACTTTAAATAAATAATAGCAGTGATATTTGTTAAAGTTTTATGCATTACAATTTTTTTTTGTGTTCTTATTTACGCGAAAATAAAAACATGTTTTGAGAGAAAAATTAATTCTTTTAATTCTCAAGACTAAATTGTGCTTGCCTTGGAAAACACTTAAATAATATCCAAATTAAAAAAATGTTTAGCATAGACTAAAATAGACTACTACCTGTTAAATTAAGTTTATAATTAATGTTTATTATTTTATCTATAATAAAAAACACACATCAAGAGTACATGAGCTGTAAATTGAAGGAACAATTACAAGTTACAATAAAATAATTTAAATACACTTTACGTTTTCATTTTTTAGTTTCGATGCGAAACTGAGAAAGTATTATTCCTACTATGTTTATAATTTTTTTTGTGTCTCTTATCACTGTCACCGCAGTTCTCACCAAGTCGATTTCTTTTAACCATACGTAAAGATCACAAGTCTTATTTATCGAAGACATTATTCTCAAAAATTAAAAAAAATTTCTCTTGTTCTACATAAATGAGGGAAATCTTTCAACAAATTATTAACAATTCTAATCATTTTTAAAATCTATAAATTTCGATGTTTTTTAACTTTTTTAGTTTCGGTGCAAGCTGAGAAGATATTAATTTTATTATGTGTGTTTTTTTTTGTGTTTGTTACAACTATTTTTCAGCTCTTACCGAACCAATTTCTTTCAACGATACGTCAAAAGATCACAAATCGTATCTAGTCGAAGACATTACCCTCAAAAATTGGAAAAATTTCCCTCGTTTTCCGTAAATGGGGGAATCTTCAAAAAAAAAAAAATATATCAAATTTCATACTAAATTAAATTGCCACAGTTAAAACTATAAATTACTAAGTTGGTTGGGTTTACCATTATATTTACTTATTAATCAAAGAGCTCTAATCAGTTTATAATTAAGAAAATTTTACACTATGTATAGATTTGCATTGAAGCGTTTCATATGTTAAAATAAAAATGCCAATGAAGACCCCTCTTTCAATTTCAATTAAAAATTTATTTTATATACTTTTGTTTAAATGATTGTTTTTTCTTAATGTTTATTATTTTTATATGACTGTTTTTCTTTTTTTTTTATTTGTTTGTTTTTTTTTATTACATTTTCTGTAACTATATTTTTGTATAATAAGGGTCAATCCCGTTGAATAAATAAATAAATAAATATTCTAACTGCCATGTCCTAACTGTACGAGACCACTTTGCTTCTGTTTTTTGTGTATACTTATTCATAATAAAAATATTAATTCATAATTTATTTAAAAATGGCTGATTATTTCACATTTGAAATGCTTCAAAATTAAAACCAATACCTTCTTAGTTTTGTATCGAAGTTAAAATAATTTTTTTTTTTAATTTTATTTTGTTAAAAAAATTGTTTTGCTTCTTTTTCAATTTTTATGTAATAGTCTAAACAAAAAATAAATATGAACAAAACCAAATTAATGGTGAATTTTCATTTTAAATCAAAGTGTTTAACCAATCTGAAAACGCAAACTTTAGATCGAATATTTTTTTTGTAATTTTGTACATAATTATTAGAAATATTTTTCTATATCATAACGTTAAAAAACAGGAGTTTCCATTTAAGAAAATTAAAATTAAGGTTTTATATCTCTGAAGGGATGAAAAAAAATTATTTGAGTGCTTAATTTTGTAAAGTTTCTAACCAAATATTTCTTTATAAAAATTTAAAAAATTTAATTGTTTTCGAGATAATAAGGTTGTTAATCAAAATTGATCACCTAATGTAATTATTTTAACTTTCGAAAAGGTTAAATCCTCTTAGTTCTTCTCTAGTTGCATCTATGGTCTTTAATAATATATTTCATTTAATATTTTAATATTAATATAAGTAATAATAATATTATATTTTAAAATAAAATTGTGGTATATAAATATATAATATTTGATTAATATAGTAATTTTGGGTATTAGTTGAGTAATTAATAAAAACCCAATTAAAATGATTTTCTATTATTTCTTTATAATTGCGTATAAATAAAAAATGTATGAATAATTATCATGTTTATGAATGTTTAATATTTGTCAACAAACAATTATTTTTTATAGCAATAAAAGTATTTAATATTTTTTAACTATTTAAAATAAAACATCTTTAATTTTTTTTACATGGGGTACATAAATTTTCTTTTGAAAATCTTGATAACTACAACAGTTTATCACACCTTTATGCGGATTTTTATCAAACATAACCCAACTTAGATCATCACATAAACCTGGTGAGCAAATTTGTCTTGCTGGATTACTAAAACGGCTTGGGAATGGATCATTGTAACCAATAAAAACTATTGCTTGATTTTTGTGTTTAACAATTTTCCAAAATATTTTTGGCACAGGTATTACATTATAACCAAGACTATGACGATCCATATGAACAGGTGATCCAGTTATGTTTAATTCTCCGTAAACCCCTGTGTACACAGTTAAATTTATATATCTATCAATTGCTAAACGCCGTATTGCTTCTTCTAAAATTTTCCAATTTCCATCTTTGAATTTTTTAAATTGTGGTGCAGTTAACACATCATAATAGGTTCCTTCTTGTTGAGGATAATATAAAAAATCCTCCATAGGTACAAGGTTACTTTTAGCTAAAAAATGATCTCCATTGATATACCTTTCAGCAGATTGAGGGGTTATATAAATGTGGAATATTTTTTTTTGATATTTAGTGTCATAAATTTTATTTGTAGATATCTTTTGATAATGTTCAGGCATACCTTTATACGGTATATTCTTAGATCTTTGATCCCTGAAAACATAACAACATATTAAATATTACTTCAAATAGTTTGTAATAATTAAATAATGCTAACATAAAAAAAAATTGCCATTAATCTGGTGTTATATATTATGTTTTTTTTAAAATATTGATATAATGTTAATACTTAATGTACATACTCATTAAGATCCTTAGTAATTTGATGTACAGTGTACAATGGCAATAAAGATTTAATATCAAAATAGAAATCAATTAACTCGAGAAAAATTTCATTATCTATTTCAAATCCAATTTTGTAATGCATAATGCTATCACCTAAATAGCTTATGCCTAATTTTCTCAAAGTAGTCTGTGGAGCTTTCTCACAATCATAATAACTTAAATTATGTTTTTCTTCACTATCAGCAAAAAGATTATCTCCTAAACATTGCACTGTTTGAATGCTAAGATCTGGATTTGATTTAAAATAACTCCCTGGGCATGCCAATATAATTTCAAAACCGCGTTCAATATGAATAGTATTGTCTTCACTAGGATGTATGAATTCAATTTTTCCAAAACGATTTTCATTAGCATACAACAATAATGGAGTTTGAGGAGTCATATCATTTTTAGAATTAATATCACAGCTATAACCTCAAGAAATAAGTTTTTTTAATCAACCTTATCATATTATTTCATGTTATAAGATGCGAATAAAATGCTTACTGTTAGTGTTATTAGATACAACTTGAAAAGTTAAAAATAACTGCCCCGTTATAATTTTCAACAACCATATTTTGCATATTTTATAATCTAAGTAACGCATTCTTAAATTTATTTATTTTAAACTATAAATAAAAATAAGTTGTACTTCTTCCTTATTTTGAGTCTAAAAGTTAATTATTAGAAAAATGTTATACAAAAAAATTATAGTAAAACCTATTAATATTAAATTATTGTTTTCACTAGTAGATTGACACTGGTTAGGTTGAATTATAATCGATTTTAAAAGTTGGAACAGAAACGATCTATAACCAGTTTCAAAACCAATTTTAAATTAATTTAAGATACAATCTATATAAAATAAATAATAAGTACTTGATTTGAAATAAATGTTTTTTTAATCGAAACTGAATCAGAATTACTAAGTTTTACAAATTACAAAATTAATTTGTGAGATCGAGGAAAAATTGTTGATTTTCAGAAAAGTAAAAAAAATAATAATAATTTGTTACAATAAGCGTATTATATTATTCTATAACAAATATTAAGTGTTGTTCACTATTGTAATAGTAAAATAGCTTTTACAAAAAAAAAAAAAAACTAAAATTTTAAAATTGTAATTTGTAAAATATTTAAAAAAACTTTTATTTTGCTTATTTGTTTATTTTGTAAAATTTTGTTTATGTCATTATTTTAATACTTGATTTTAATTGTTTATAATATCTTTATCTTAAACAATCTTAAGAACTCTATTTGTAATGTGGCCAATAACTTATTTTAAAAACAGAAAAATTAACTGAAGCAATACAGTAAGAAATTTAAAGAAATATTAATTACACACTATTAGGTTTTTCAATAAGTTAACACTACATATTTTAATTAAATAAATTAACATAAAAAATTTGATGTGTAAGTTAATGTTCATATGACATTATAATACTTACTTTTATGAAGTTCACAATACTTTAATTTTTGTTATTTAGTCGCAAAACAATTAATGAAAAAATATTGTTTAAATATCAAAATATGTCGAATAACAAATATTAATGCACATGTATTAATTTTGTAAAAATGTACAATAAATGCTTACTAAACAAAATGACATATATTTTGATCACCTTAATTTAATTTATACCTTTATTAATATAACGTATAAATAGTTTTTGTATTTATTATTTACCAAAATTTGAAAGACCTTTTTATTGCGTATATGCTGTATTATAATATTTTAACATTATATGCTAATATATTATGACAAATTTTAAAATTTAATAAAATTATGCTACTATTAAAATTACATTTAATTGTCATAACTTAAATATAAAAAAAGCAGTAGTCTTTATTACATAAGTAATAATAAACTATATAAGCACACTGATAATATTGATTTTTAAAATTGTTTTAATTTTGCGTTGAACATTTCTAACATAGCAGTACATCAATTCTCTATCAAAAAAAATAATAGAATAATACTTAATTAGATTGGTTACAAAAGCTGTCATGTTTTGTATGTTCTTATTTTACTTTACGATTTGCAAAATGAACGTTAATGCCTAAAAATGCAACTCCTTATTTTTTTAATTTCAAGTCTATATAGTATATACAAACAAATTCATTTGGTTATTAGCAACAATATCACAAATGATATCTTTGTTTCCCAATTACTGAAATTATTGAAATTAATTAATACTATTATTAAAATCGGTAATCAATGTTTACATAATAAAAAGTGGCATCTTGTTGAGATACAAAATCGGTTTTAAGGCATATTGATCTTTAAATAAGAATTCATAACACTGAATATAACTCTGAGCAATGGGTAATGTTTTTTTCTTATAGTCCTTATACGCTTGTTTAGGAGAAACATCTTTTAAAAGAATATTTCTAGCATATGGTGGTTGTTGAAATTCTTTTTGTGACTTAACAGAAAAATATAATTTAATACAAATAAGAAGTTTAATAATATATTTTTTTATAAAAAAAAATTCAAGTAAGACCTCATAATTTTTATTAATTGCTTATATTGTAACCCTAATCTATGCTGAATTTACTCTACTGAATGAAAATATTAACTAAAATTAATTAATAAATAAATATAAATTAAAATATATTATTTAATTAATTGAAATTAAAGCGTTTATACATGAATATTATTTTCTTAAATAAATTAAATTTTAGTTTTTTTATTCCAGATAAACTAATTTTACACATTTTGGCCACAGCAAGTTTTTATTGATCTCATAAAAAATATAGCATCTTTTTTTTTCACTTTTCATTACTAAAGTTACAGTTATTTTCAAAATAACAACCAACATACAGAGTAATTTTTTTTTATAACCCACTCAATTACACACTGAATAAAAATAATTTAAACATTTTTTCAATATAATGTTTCAGGTTTTATTTTAACTGTGAATAGCATTTAATTTTTAACATAACTTGAGTCATTTATTAGATATAAAACTTCAAATCCTCTATTTTTTTATAATATATATGAGGGAGTACAAATAGAGGGGGCTTTTTTTATGACATCACTATATGCTTAGACACAGCTTTATTGTCGATTATAACTTTAACAACAGATATGTTTAAAGTATAATTGTAAGACACATTGTTCTGAATTAACATTTATAAATACACCAACTGAAAATGTAAAAAATTATACAATTTTTGAGGTAATTTGTAAACAAAACCTAACGACATTGTAATAAAATTATATAATTTATCTAAGTTTATTGACCTAATTAAAATAAAATAAATTCTTCATTAATCAATAATTGGTCCAGTTGTTCTGTTATTAAGTTTTAATCATTCTAAGCTTTTTATACTAGAAGTGATCTTATACATGATATATACAGGAATGTTTTTATTGTTATCGAAACATAAATATATAATAGACAAAAATGCAGAATTACCGACATTATAAAAATTTCGTTATCTTCACAAGATTAATTTTTTAAGCTTTTGAGATATTTTTAAAAATCTCCATGTTTTTAAGTTATTGACCAAATATTAAAAAGCAAAGTATAATTAATAAAATGTCATGTTTTCAAAAATTAATGTTAACTCGTAAGAAATTTTTATGAGGGCTTACCCTAAAACAATAGAGTTGAAGTTTCAAACAAAATAATTACAATACATTTATGAATTTAGGTAGTGTCAATATAAAATTTTATTTTAAAATTCATAAAAATTATATTTAGTTGTCAAACCTAAGTTAATTGCAAAAAAATATTAATTAAAATAATATTGATGATAATTTAGTTAAGTATATAGGCATTTTTTATTTTTGGCATTGATTTAATTTTGTATTGTATATCTTTAACATTGTAGCAATACATTAATCCTTTTTCAGGATCATTGTTGAATGACACCCAATTTATTTGATCGCATATATTTTCTTTCTGCAAGTTTGTAGCAACGTTATCTTTTCGATCGGCAAAAGGATCATTGATGCCGACAAATGCTACTGCTCGATCTGCTTTTTCATCGTGTACTACTTTCCAAAATATTTGAGGAACTGGTATAGTTTTTCGGCCAGAACTAGTTTCAGTCAAGTAGAGTTCTTTATCGGAGATTTTAAGCACACCATGGACACCCGTGTACACAGTCAAATTAATTTTTTTTTGAGCGGCTAGACGTCGAATTCCAGCTTCCAGCTTTTGCCAATTACCACTGTTAAACGCTTGCCATTGAGGAGCAGTGTTGGCATAATAAAAAGTGGCATCTTGTTGAGCACCAAACACAAAGTCGGCTTTAGGAACACAATGCCCTTTAGCTAAGAAATGATTACCTTGAATATACTTTTGAGCTACATGATTGGACAAGGTTTTTAAAAACATTGTTCTTTGATTATTGTTTTTATATGCTTGTGTAGTCGCAACATCTTTGAATAGAAAGCTTTCATTAAATGATGATCGTTCAAATCCTTTTTGAGATCTAGTAAAAAATATATTAATTTTATTTCATACGAAATATAACTTTAGTTTTTTTTAATCTTAACTGATTTATTATAAATATTAAAATAATGATTATTGTTCTTTTATGTAATATAACAATAAAAATAATGTATACTTTTGAGCAGGTATTAGAACTTTTGAATTTTTTAGGAACCGGTTTAAAATAAGTTTCTAAAATAAAATTCATGAGGTTCAAGTTATATTAGGAGTTCTTGAACTTATTAAGGGCTCCGTTTAAGATCCAGTTTAACAAAGCTTCTAGTTAAAAAAAATAGTTATCTTATTTTTAAAATTATTTTTGAAGGTGGATTTAACACATTTGATACCAATAGGATCATTTTTTAACTCAAATGTTTTTTGAGAATTTTTGATATTTTTGTCATCGTATGATTATTACACAAGTAATAGATAATTAATTTCCATAATCAATTTTTGATAAATCTCATTGCTTTAAAAATTAAAAAAAAATTATTTATTTATATTTTTTAAATATTATGTTCTACTATAATAACCTGTAGAAGAATAATATTTCGTTACATTTTACCCCTAGTTATGTGTATGATATTATCATTATATGATATTTGATTACTTATTAATTTTTCTTGTAGTGTGTGGTTACATAATAAAACAGCTGATTAATCGTATGCTACTATGATTTCTACCACCAAGTATTATCATATTTAATAAAAAAATATAAAATGAATATTTTATCGCGGTTACGCGTGAATCATATATGATGACATACTTATTACTAGTTTTGTGAACCTTTAAAAGAATAGGTTTTTGGTAGAATTCTGGTTCATTAAAAAAATAGTTTGAGATTCCGATTAGATTCTCGGTTCTTTATTTTCTTCAACCATTTCTAAATGGTTCTTTTTTAAAATGTTCCAAACTTTTTATTAAATAATGTAAAAAAAAAGTTTAAAAGTTTTTAGTAAAAATAAGGACACAAAACAATCAATTCATTATATTTAAATAATTTTTTTTCTACATCAAATTTATAAAAAAAATTATTTTGAGCGTAAATTCTCATAAAATATTCATATTTTTCCTTACATATTCAAATTTACCCTGTAATAACCTTCTTTTTGTTGTTTTTATATCTTAGTATTCTTTATGAAATTTTTAGTTAATTTATTTGAAATTGATCAATTATCCTTACCTACTTAATGGGAAAATAAAATTGTTTATATTACAATAAATTCGATTGTTGTAATATTTCTAACATTGTCAGTTTTTAATATATTTTTATATATTTATGTACGTATACAAGCTATAGCAGCCACATATTCATTATAGTAAATTATGATTTCTTTGAAAAAAATCTAAGAAAATATTCCTCTTGTTATAATGTTACTATTATTCAATATTAAATATTCTTACCCTTTGATATTAGACGTAATCTTATGAACGGTATATACAGGAATGTTATTATTTTCATCAAAACACAAATCCATAACAGGCAAAAATCCAGAATTACCAACATCAAAGCCAACTTTAAGTAAGGTTTTTTCGCCTTCACATGTTCCAATTTTTTTTAAATTAGATTCTGGTAATTTTGTGCATTCCATATCACTCAAGGGCTTTTTTGAATTTCCAGAATCAAAATCACTACCACCCGAACAGGATATTTCTCGTATGTCTTGAGTATTTTTGTCTTCAAAACTACTTCCTGGGCAAGCTAATATTACTTGATCCCTATTACTAAAATTGATTATGTCACCAGACTCTGGATAAGCGAATTCATATTCGCCGTTTTTGCTATGTACTAAGACCAGTGGCTGTGTTTTGCTTAAGTCTTTGTTGGTATTAATACTACATCCTGAACCAAGTGATGCTGAGTCTTTAAAATATATAAAATAAAAAAATCCTTTTATTTTGAATTACTATAAATTGTAATATTTTAACAATTATAGTCTAATATAAATTTTTTTAATATTAGTATTAGTATTTTTAGTATTTTAGTATTAAAAATATTTCATTGCCCCTCTACACCTACACAGGACCTTTATAAGTGTTACGGGAAAAAGTGACAAGCAAAACTAATCATGAACAATTTTAATAAAGGCTTTATTATAATTTTCCGTTACGTAAGAAAAATTAAATACATTTTCAAATTGTCACTTCTACGAAAATATTTATTCAAAAATTACCTACATTTGACATAACTTTTTTAGTCATTATAACATCCTATAATAAAATCACGTATCCGCTATATATAATTTTAAAACAATAAAAATTGTATAATTTATCTGTATTTATCACTTATATATATATATTTTAATACTCAATATTAAAAGTTAGTATATTTCTTACTTGATCTTGGCGCTCCTAAGCAAGCAGTAGAGTATAGCACCAAAAACAACAATATTGATCTTAATTTAACCATTTTCAATAGTTAAATAAAATCTGATTTGGATGGGTAAATGTCATTAAATAAAACAGAAATCACACAGTTTCTATAAAACTAATTAAAATTACAAGCACCTAAAAAATGAATACAAATCATATATACTTTTGCATTATAATATAAAATAATGACAGATTTAATCTTCTATATTATTTTATTATATAACTTTATTTAAATACAAATAAACTTTTTTATTGCTTTGATTGTAAAATATTCAGGTATTTATAAATGCCTAAATGAAAAAAAAATATGTACAAATACAGTAATGTATAAAGTATTCTTTATTATTTTGCTTATATTTATTCGGAAAATTCATACTAATTGTTGGAGTAGCTTAAAAAATGTAAATCTTAGGAACATTTAAATTAATTGCTTTTCGACGTTATTTTATTAACATTATTAGATTGGTGTTAAAATTATTATAAATTATATTGTTTACAAATAATTTATATTAAAAAATTAACAAAAATTATAATGATAATTAAAAATTAACGTTTAAGATAATATTTACAATATAAAAGTATGACTTTATTAATATATGAACAATGTTTTTAAAAAATGAGAATTTAAGTAAAATTTCATTTTCCTCCAAATTACTCTAATGAAAATTATTATTTTTCCATTAGATGGCCATTATTAAAAGCTATCAAAATGTAATTGAACAATAGATATTTGGATGAAATAAAAATTAGTTGTAATTTATTTTTTAATTTCTTTTAGATACATGTTTCTACAAAATTATATTGTTTTATTAGGAATATTTATTACAAGAGGATTTCAACAAATAATAATTCTTAAAAAAGGTAATACAATTAAAAAAAAATTAATATATCAATAAAAAAAAAAAAATACTAACATAAAAAACGCTTAGATGCTAATCTGTAGATAGTATTTATTTTTAAAAATTGGTGTATTATTCCAAAAGCTATATGAAGGAGAACATGTGCTTTCTTATTTATATTTTGACTACAAGTTTTATAATTTATAAGTGTAATATATGAATATATATATATGGTCTGATTTAAAAAAATATATGTTACATAAAGGAAGAATATAAATAGTACTTACCTTAAAAAAATTAGAATGATCCATACATTTTTCAAAAAGTTATAGCATTATAAAGTTCAAATTTTAAAAAGAATTTTTTTTCAAAAATCGTATTTTTTTTCAAAAATCGTATTTTTTTTATATTAATTTTGCTGCCCGTTTTCTCCATGAAAACAAAATAAAGTTCGAAATTTTTTTTTTTCATATTAAATGATATTACATAAGCTTTAATTCAAAGTTTATATAAAAGTGTCAATCATTCCGAAACATTTTCGAAATTAAATTAAATAAGTTCTAATTTATATATGCATATTTAAGATTTGAACCCTCCCAGTATAAAGGAAAGTAGTTCGATTATCAAAAAAATTATTTTGAAAATGTAAAATATAAAATCCAGAATTTTAACACAAAAATAGCATACAGTAGCCATTTTTTTTTTACAAAAATCGTATTTTTTTTTTTATTAATTTTGATGTTTGTTTACTCTATGAAAACAAAATAAAGTCCGACATTTTTTTTTCCATAATAAAGTATATTATATTAATTTTAACTTAATATATATGTAAAAGTATCAGTATTTCCGAAACACTTTTAAAAGTAAAGTTAAAAAATTAAATTTTTTGTCTTTGTCAATTTTGTTAAAAGTTATCATTTTAAGATACGATTTGTAATCATTTAATGTATTGTTAAAAGAAATCGGTTCTGTGAGAGCTGAGAAAAAGTGGTAACAGACACAAAAAATAAAAAATCAATAAAATTATTCAATTGATAAAAATGAATTTTTCAACCCTATAAATTTTTAGCTTCAATTTGACCCCATATGCTTTTATCTTTTCTTTCATAAATATCATAATTTCTCTTTATAAAGACAATTAATTTATAGTTTCTTTATAACGAAAACTTTTTAAATATTGGTCTAAGGATTGTTATCGACTAGAAATTTTTTTATTTAGACCGTTGTTTAATAAGTAAACTAGTTAATTATGTATGTTTCTAATTGAAAAAATAAAGTTAACACTTAAAACATAACGGATAGACCCAAAAAATACTTCATGGCTGGTAAATTAAGAAAAACATGTATTTAAAAGAAATAAAAAAAAATATTATTAATTTTTATTTCATCGAAAAATCTATTGGTTAATTAAATTTTAATATAATGCAATCTAACGGAAAAAAAAATTTCATTGAAGTATATCGACGGAAAATTAAATTTTACGTAAATACTTATTTTTCAAAAATATTGTTCATGTATTAATAAAAACATACTTTTAAATTGTAAATATTAGCTTTTTACTAATTATTAATTTTTAATTATTATTTCAAATTTTTGTTACTTATTTAATAAAAAATATTTTTAAACGGTAAATTATAAATAATAATTTATAATAAGCTACTTACTTAAAGTTATTTGAAAATAATACGTTGGGTATCAATAACGTCTGCGTATTCAGCACCAACTATTTTCATTATTGAAGTAGTGACACAAAGAAAATCTTATCAGTTTTTAATGCATCTGACTATGTTATCTTTTATTGATAAAATAATATTTTGTTGCTTAATATTTTTTTAATTAAAATGGTAAATCCATACAATTTATTGTGAAACTACCTTTTTGTTTATAACTGCTCTCATGTTAATACTTTTTTATCAATATATTATATGAAACGTTCAAATTCCTTTTTAACTATCCAAAGCCTATCGGATTTCTTATAAGCCACTATAGGTTTATTCATTATTATTATTAATTATTCTTAAATTCTAAATTTAGTTAATGCTTAAGTATAATGTATAGGTTAATATGATGTTTAGAAATATTACAATAATGAATACAATTGAATATTACTTTTATTTTAAATTTATGTTACATGTATGACTTGTAAGTCTATATTCTCATTCAAAATTGATACGCCTGTTGTTATTTTATATGCACGTAATTATATGAACATAAATAAAAACCCAACAAGGGGGCCGCGGCACAGTGGTGACGTGGCATAGTTGGATCAAGTATAATGATATCTGACAGTGATTAAAATCACTATAAAAAAAAACGCATCGATGCAAATCTTTAGATACTGTTTAATTTTAAAAAATTGGTGGACTATTCCAAAAGCTACATTATCTGCTAGTTCATTATTAATATCCTAATTAAGATAAAGTATGTAGAATGAAAAAGGGATTATTAAAAAATATTATTTCTCATAAAAAAATAATGTTGATCCATACACTTTTCAATATGTCATAGCATTATAAAGTTAAAAATTTAAAAAATAAAATCGAGAATTTTCACACAATAATAGCATT